GTAAGAAATGACTGAATCATTGTAGAGTACTTGTGGAGCTGATAGAGGAATCTCATGGGTTACTAGAACCATGAGTACACTTGTGAGTAATCAGTAACCTTGTGCAGAGTCATAGTTCCCACATAGAGGTAATGTTCTAATGAGTAGGTCGAATACGAGTTCATATGCCTGGTCGGAATGTAATGTATCTACTGTACAGAGATACAATCAGTCTACACGAGTCATCTGTGGAATTCCTAATGCATGACGTACTGTGGTTCCAATGAGATTCGGTAAGAAGTACATGTCTACACATGGAGTGACATAACTGGATCTCTCGTAAAGTTAATCTCGTAGGGAAAGCTCATGATACTGGTGTTTAGATACTCACAAGATTATCACTTGTGAGATTTCTCAGAGTCATGTTCTACAAGTACTGTTCTACAGAGTCATGTCGCAGAGATCACGTTAGTACAAGAGTCGAGTTGTCTACCGAGCTCATTGGCTCTCTGAAGAGTACTTGATGATTCTACATGAGTAACGGATACTGCTATTAGTCAGAAGTTCATGGTTCAGACAGAACGTCACTGCTTTTATCAGAGTTAATTTCGTGCAGAGATCTGTTATCGGCTACAGTCATGTTACATACATAGGTAACTTGCTTTCTGCAGCAAGAGATATGCATGGTTATACTAAACAGAGTCATCGTGTCTTAACAGAGTCAGAACACAGAGTAATAGATATATAGAGATCAAATCAGGATATCTGTGGCAAGATGTCATGCTTGCAGTGAACTTTGACTACTCAGCGAAGTCATGTTTAGAGGTCAATCAGGTTTCGATGCAGACGTCATGTAAATACATGACACTAGTCAAAATGTAACTCTATCAGAGACTGTGTTTACATAGCTTCACAGAGTATAGTTCTACAGAGTCATGTTCTACAGAGTCATGTTCAGCAGAGTTCTGTTACAGCAGAGTATGTTCTACGAGTAAACATGTTACCTACCAGAGGTCAGTTCTAGCGACCAGAGGTGGACTGTTCTACATTACAAGCAGTTCATGTTCCAACTAGAGTCATGTTTCCTACCACGGTATGTTTCCTGCAGAGTCACTCGTTCTCAGAGTCACTGTTTACAAGTCATTTTTACAGAGTCCATGTATCTCTAACAGGTCCATGTTCGGAAAGAGTCATCGTCTGCCAGAGTCATCTTCTACACAGAGATGCATGTGGTCTACTTGCAGCAGTAGCTGTCCTTCCTTTGCAGAAGTCGCATGATCCTCCACGAGCTCCATGGTTACAACGAGTATAACTATTCTAAAACTAGACAAGTCTCGCTTGCTAGATGAGTCATGTATGCTATTCCACGAGACTCAATCATGGGTTCTATGGCATAGTTAGGCTGTTTGCTGCTGAGAGTCATGCTTCTACAGAGTTACTGTTTCTATACAGAGTCATGTTCTTACGAGTTGTCCAATGTTCGCAGAGTCATGTTCTATCCAGAGTCATTGTGTTCATACAGAGTACTGTTCACACTGTTTAGCTGTTCTACAGAGTCATGTTCTACAGAGTCATGTTCTACAGAGTATTGTTCCACGTCAGGTTCTTTATTTGTTAAATGTTTTTCTTGTGAGTTTCTTCAGTGTGATTCTGCAAAGTCTCACGTCTGAATCTGTGAAAATGTAAAAACTTTTACATGAGTTTACAGCCAGGTTCACAGAGAACCACAGAGGACCACAGAGAACCACAGAGAACCACAGAGAACCACGGAGAACCACAAAGGACCACAGAGAACCACAGAGGACCACAGAGGACCACAGAGGACCACAAAGAACCACAGAGGACGTACAGAGGAACACAAGTAGGCCACAGAGAACAACAGAGGACGCAACAGATAGAACCACAATGGACTATTACTTAGAAAGCTTTCACAGAGACCTACGGAGGACCACGGAGGACCAAGAGGACCATAATCAGAGGGATACCTCACAGGAGGTTACCCATCAGAGAACCACAAGGACACAAGGTACCACGAGGAACATCAGTAGGACCACAAAGAATAGGTATTTGAAGAACATTAGGAGGACGCACAGATGAACAAAGGACACAAGGGAGACCATCAGAGGACCTTCGTGGAGGACCACGTTGCGGACTACGAGAGGCCACAGAGGACCACAGAGGACCAACAGAGAACACAAAGGACCACAGAAGGACCACAGGAACCACAAAGGACCACCAGAGGACCACAGAGAACCACAAAAGGACCACACGAGGACCACAGGAGGACACAAAGTGGTGATCGTACCTGGGATTGAATGCCACCATAGCTTCCATTTTCATTTACAAAGATAGTTACTCGCCTTTTTTGTTACCATTAGTAGTTAGTAGAAAATATTAAATTGACACACAACAGCACACACAACATGTCACGACAACACATAACCACGAAAACATACACACACAAACACAGCACATGTACACACAGGGTCACAACACGCACTAGTACGCGCTACGTACCAAGCACGACAACAATAGACTAGCACACTAACACTGACACACACGAGATGCACAATTCACAGTCACAACACACACACAACATCACAGCTCGCATCAACGTACGACGCATCACACAAACAGCTGACACACACAACATCGATCACACAGCAGTGTCAGCATCACAACACGATCACACGAAACTTGATGCACACTCACAACAAGACATACAGTCACAAACAGACTCAGAATACACACTAGCAGTCTGTAGACTCTCACACGAATAGCACATCGTAACAGCCTGACTCACACGATACGTGTGCACTAGGCATGCAACACATCACGACAACACATCCACAAGCTACAGATGTATGCACTGATCAGCATCAGAGCACTGGTATTTGTGTTGATGTGTTCGTTGTACTAATGGTTGGTCAGATCGTGTAATGTCGTGTGCTGTGTAGTCACGCTCATGCTTTAAATTCGTGTTATGCTCAGGATTATAGCGTTTGTTGCATCTATAATTAGGACACTACACACAACCACTACGCAACAAGATTGACATATCACACTTATACTACTAAGTATCACAATCCAGAAGCTCTTACATTGGTGAAGACAAACACACAAACTGACAACCACTCGCAAATACAGGCACATACAACAAAACACTACACAACTAAAACAGAAACACAACGGAACAATCAACCACAACAAACAACACAAAAGACACACTGACATAACCACACACACACTACAACACAACAACACACACTACACAATTACATGCCTTACAACCGACACAGCAACACCCCACATCCCACACAAACTGGAGGCTACAACTGGGTCGACCATCAACCAGATACTGGAAACAAACATCAAACCGACACGAACATCACACCTGAAAACATAAAATCTCGACTACAACCACAACACCCTGGATAGCACACATATAAAACACTTGGTGAAATAACAACGCTAACACCAGATGAAAACACACAGGCACAGTAAAAAACCACGGGATCAGCAACTGATTACAATACAACTACACGGTAAACACACTACAAGCACAGAATCAATGCATGAAAAACAAGGATCAAACACGCTGACTAAAACTCGACCGACACAAAAATCAACCACAATCGAGCACACAAATACACAATCAACACACCAGCGACAAACATCAAACACCAAACAGCGAACAACCACAATAAAACAATGCACGCAGACGACAGACAACCTGAGATGACTCAAACCACAAAAGACTATCACACAACAAATCCCGACACTTAAAACACACAACAACACACCAAGACATCACACATCACTAAGCCAGCACCTGGAGCGAAGTCACACGGACATATTACAACACATGCGAACACAAGTAACATGGTGCGTAACACAACGTACGACAACTAACAAAACACACAAAACATCAGCAACACAACGGACACATGATCAAACAACCGAACCTACAACTGAGGTGAAACATACCAGTATGAGACCAACAACGAACCACAATCAGACCTGCGCGACTCACCACTCGGATACGTAAAATACGAGAGACTCACAATCACACTAGCTAAGCCATCACCACGAGTACGACATACCACAAACACACTACTACACTATGCGATGACACACCTGGTGACATAACTGGGCTAACAACTAGCGGAGCCAACATCCAACATAGAGGAGAGACAACTCCTGTTAACTACTTACACGATGCACACACTTATTAAAACACTATGCTTACAAAAAACACCACAGAAATACTAATTACATATAAAACTCGAATAGCACAACACATACACACATCAGCAATCGTATGCACAAAACATCAGTGAAGACCTAGCCACACAACGACTAGCACGTCACGAACGCAATCATCTCAACACGACACTCTAGGACACATCACTAGGAAGCCAACACACCACAAAGCAATCAAACAACACAAGACGAGATCACACTCACACATACGCTCACGACACAACACAGACAACAGGCACACGCATGAACCACAACACACAACACACCAACACACATCACAACACACACAACAAACACAACACACACACACAAACACACACAACACAACCACACGACACACCGGCACGACACAAACAAAAAACAAACACACACAACCACACACAACACAACACACACACAGAGCGACAACGAACCACAGACACCGAGCACTTAAGTCACTATGATTGACAGATCGACTAAGCGACAACACTTACACTAGTTCAGATCACACAGTCGGAGCAATAACAAATGGGAACACACACAATCAACGTAAGCTACTATGATCAATGATACCACCAGCAGACACATCGACATCAACAACAAGTGGGGTTTGGCTCTCCATGTTCCTCGTCACACACAACACGACGACCACACACAAACACCACACACTAACACACACCACAAACCTAAGTCACAAATCACACAATGTGCCAACAAGACACACAACCTACACGAGCTAGCAACAGCACCATATGCAACCAACACACACAACGACTACACACACAGACGACCATCACACACTCAGAGCACACATCAACACACACACAACACACACACAACACACACACACACACACACACACAACACACAACACACACACACACACACACACACACACAACACACACACACACACACACACACACACACACACACACACACACACACACACAGGAACACAGACCACAGGAAGAGAGAGGAGTTTCATGAGGACTGAGGTGGAGTCAGAGCATCAAGAGCTTCTGCTCACAGACGAAGCCTCCATAAGACCTGAGGTGATGAGAAAGACTCTGACCTGACCTGAGTTGTGGAGAAAAACTACCAGACTAATGCTCAGTGTCCAAAGTCCAGGGCCACAGGGGGCTGTGACCCTCAAACTGGAAGAAACTCCAGCAGATACCAGGAAAAACAACAGAACATCTCAACCCAGAAAAGAACAGAACAGGAACAACAAAGATACTGAAGAACTGTGAGTCGAGCTGGAGGAGAAAGAACAAGAACAAGAACAACCAACCTGAAGGTGAAGAGCTCTTTGATTTGATAAATATTTAACTTTGAGTTTCTTTTTCATGGTTTTCAGGGACTGAACCAGGACTGAACCAGGACTAAACCAGGACTGAACCAGGTCTAAATCAAAATGAGTGTTGAAGTGAAACCATAAATTGTCGCTGTGAGGCGGGGAGGGGGGGGGCAAGGTCATGTTTTAATGTAATGAAACGAGCACGCGCCGCCCCCTCACAAGCACGCGCACAGAGGGAGCGCTCACACGCACGGGGGTCTGTGCGCCGGAGCAGAGCGCGGACCGGACCGGGGCGCGTCTCACGGAGTTTGGATCCGACCGGATTGAGGACATTTGACTTTTTCCTGAAGCTTCACGGAGCCTTTTGGACCGAGTCTAGACCCGTGCGCCAAGTCTAGACCCGGTTTAGACCGAGTTTAGACCGGGTTCAGACCGGGTTCAGGCCGAGCCGCTCTAACAGGTGAGACATAACTCTTATTGTGATCTGATTTTGCTCCGTGTAATCTGATTACTCTCCCGTTATTCCTGTGACACCGAGCACGCGCGCGTTTCAGTTGGTCCGAATAAAAAACTGAACCAGAAACCGGACTAGACCCAGAGAACCCGGGCACAACCGGGACTGAACCAGGACTAAACCAGGTCTAGACCAGGTCTAGACTGGGACTCTATGTTTTCTGGAGTGAATGGATCAGATTTCAACAGGTTCTAGTCTCAGGTTGGTGTTTTATTTGAAACTGTTTTCCAGTTTTGTCCAGTGAGCTGCTGCTGCTTTATATGTATCACCACACGATGACATCACAAGGTGGGACAGAGTGTTTTCAGTTTGAGAAGAACTTTTTTGTGTGTTAAACATGTGAATGAAACAAAACACGACTCCAGAAACACGTTAGAACAGAGCTGAGGATGACGGGACATTTACCCACGATTTCCTCTGTGTCCACAGCGCTCCTGTCTGCTCCTGTCAGCTCCTGTCGGCTCCTGTCGGCTCCTGTCGGCTCCTGTCGGCTCCTGTCGGCTCCTGTCGGCTCCTGTCGGCTCCTGTCGGCTCCTGTCGGCTCCTGTCGGCTCCTGTCGGCTCCTGTCGGCTCCTGTCGGCTCCTGTCGGCTCCTGTCGGCCCCTGTCGGCTCCTGTCGGCTCCTGTCGGCTCCTGTCGGCCCCTGTCGGCTCCTGTCGGCTGTCGGCTCCTGTCGGCTGTCGGCTCCTGTCGGCTCCTGTCGGCTCCCTGTCGGCTCCTGTCGGCTCCTGTCAGCCCCTGTCGGCTCCTGTCAGCCCCTGTCGGCTCCTGTCAGCTCCTGTCTGCTCCTGTCGGCTCCTGTCGGCTCCTGTCAGCTCCTGTCAGCCCCTGTCGGCTCCTGTCTGCTCCTGTCGGCCCCTGTCGTCTCCACAGCGCCCCCTGTGGGTGATGCGTCTCTAGCCCCTCCCCCGGCACCATGCTGCTCTGTCATTGGCCGGTCATGCTCCTGTGGCTCCTCCCCCGCGGCGGTGTGTCGGAGCAGGAGGTGTGTCTGGCCGTGATCCTCCCTCACTCAAACACAGAGTACGCGTGGGCGTGGCCTCGCGTGGGCCCCGCCCTCACGGCGGCGGTGCGGCGGGTGAACTCTGACCCTGGGCTGCTCCCCGGCGTGAGGCTGCGGCTCGTGAACGGGAGCTCGGAGAACGCCGCCGGCTTCTGCTCCGACTCCATCGCGCCCCTGGTGGCCGTGGACCTGAAACTGGACGTGGACCCCTGGGCCTTCATCGGGCCCGGCTGCGACTACTCGTCCTCGCCCGTCGCCCGCTTCACCTCGCACTGGCAGGTTCCCATGGTAACGGCCGGGGCCCGGGCAATCGGCTTCGAAGAATACAACGTGACCAACACGGGACCCACGCACAAGAGGCTTGGCCAGCTCGGGCTGCACATACAGGTGACCATACAGGTGTCCAGACCACAGGTGACCATACAGGTATTGAGACCGTACAGGTGACCATACAGGTGTCCAGACCGTACATGTGACCATACAGGTATTGAGACCGTACAGGTGACCATACAGGTGTCCAGACCGTACAGGTGACCATACAGGTGTACAGACCACAGGTGACCATACAGGTGTACAGACCGTACAGGTGAACATAACATGGTTGTATGTTGTGTTTGATGTTGTGTGTGTATGTTGTGTGACATTGTGTGTCTGTTGTGTGTCTGTTGTGTGTCTGTTGTGCGTCTGTTGTGCGTCTGTTGTGCGTCTGTTGTGCGTCTGTTGTGCGTCTGTTGTGCCTCTGTTGTGCGTCTGTTGTGCGTCTGTTGTGCGTCTGTTGTGCGATGTCGCGCAGGAGTCTCTGGGCTGGAGGAACAGGGCCACGCTGCTGTTCAGCGATAACAAAGACTCAAACGACGATCGTTCGTGTTATTTCGCCGTGGAGGGACTTTACACCGAACTGCAGAAGAAGAACATCACCGTGAGAGACCACATCATCCACGGCAATGCCGACGCCGACCACCGCGCCCTCGTGCGCGACGTGACCGAGAACGGGAGAGGTGAGCACCGCGACACAATGTCAAACACCGTCAATACACCGCAAAAACACCGCAAAACAACACAAAACACCAAAAAAACACCGCAAATACACCGCAAAAACATGACAAATACACCACAAAAACACCGCAAACAACAAAACACACACACAAAACACACCACAAAATACACAGCAAAAACACCGCAAATACAACAGCAAAAACACAAACACCAAATACACCACAAAAACACAAAACAGCAAAAACACAACAAATACACAGCAAAAAACACCACAAAATACACAGCAAAACACAGCAAAAACACCAAATACACCACAAAAACACCGCGAAACAACACAAAATACACCGCAAAAACACCACAAAACACCACACAAAACACCACAAAAATACACCACAAAAACACCACAAAAATACACACACAAAAACACCACAAAAACACCGCAAAAACACCACAAATACACCGCAAAAACACCACAAAACACACAAATACACCGCAAAAACACCACAAATACACCACAAAAACACCACAAAACAACACAAAACACCACAAAAACACCGCAAAAACACCACAAAACACCACAAATACACCGCAAAACAACACAAAACACCACAAAACAACACAAAACAACACAAAACACCACAAATACACCGCAAAACAACACAAATACACTGCAAAAACACCACAAAACAACACAAAACACCACAAATACACTACAAAAACACCACAAATACACTACAAAAACACCGCAAATACACCGCAAAAACACCACAAAACACACAAAACACACAAAAACACCGCAAACACCGCAAAACACCACAAAACACCACAAATACACCACAAAAACAACACAAATACACCGCAAAACACACAACCGCAAAAACAACACAAAATACACCACAAAAACACCAAATACACCACAAAACAACACGCAAAAACACCACAAATACACCACAAAAACACCACAAATACACTACAAAAACACCACAAATACACTACAAAAACACCACAAATACACCACAAAAACACCGCAAATACACTGCAAAAACACCACAAAACAACACAAATACACCACAAAAACACTGCAAATACACCGCAAAAACACCGCAAAACAACACAAATACACCACAAAAACACCGCAAATACACCACAAAACAACACAAATACACCACAAAAACACTGCAAATACACCGCAAAACAACACAAATACACCACAAAAACACCACAAATACACCGCAAAACAACACAAATACACAGCAAAAACACCACAAATACACCACAAAAACACCGCAAAACAACACAAATACACCGCAAAAACACCACAAAACAACACAAAACACCACAAATACACCACAAATACACCACAAAAACACCACAAATACACCACAAATACACCACAAAACAACACAAAACACCACAAATACACAGCAAAAACACCACAAATACACCACAAAAACACCGCAAAACAACACAAATACACCGCAAAAACACCACAAAACAACACAAAACACCACAAATACACCACAAATACACCACAAAAACACCACAAATACACCACAAATACACCACAAAAACACCACAAATACACCACAAATACACCACAAATACACCACAAAAACACCACAAAAACACCGCAAAAACACCACAAATACACCGCAAAAACAACACAAAACACCACAAAAACACCGCAAAAACACCACAAATACACCACAAAAACACCACAAAACAACACAAAACACCACAAAAACACCGCAAAACACCACAAACACACACAACGCAACAACACAAAACACCACAAAACACACAAACACAACAAAACACCACAAATACACCGCAAAACAACACAAATACACTGCAAAAACACCACAAAACAACACAAAAACACCACAAATACACTACAAAAACACCACAAATACACCGCAAAAACACCGCAAATACACTACAAAAACACCGCAAATACACCGCAAAA